CATGGTGATTAATGTTAGAAGTTCCCTGATAGGACTTGGACTCATGCACAACAGATTTTCTACCAAGCATGCAGACCTGGACTTCCCTAGAAAATCCTGGCCTTTACAGCCTCTGCTCCTACAAATCCAGTATCTCCTCTTCAGCAAAACGATGCAGCAATGATGGGTATTTCGTAAGTGCAGACAGGTATATTAGATTTTAAAATCTACAAGTTTACTTTAGCTCTGTCTTAGATATTTCTAAAATATTTGTTAGCATGGTATGTAAGTACTAAAATAAGTATAGCTGTACATTTTCCTTGTCTGTGGGAGTAGCTAATCTGCCCATAACCATTTGCAGGTAACCAAATGCAACTTGGTATTTGGGGCACCATTCTCCCAAACCATGTCAAAGAAAAGCAACTCTAATGGAAATAGAGATTAGTTACTGGAGAGCTGGGGTGAGGGAATAGAACTGTCATTATTTTTAGGCTATGACCACCATGATAAAAAGTGCTACCAGCTCCAGCACTTCGATGTATTTTTAAAATACCCAAATATATTAGTAGTAGGGCAATATGCTATGCTCCATAAGGAGCTATATACTGTAGTAAAATACTGAAGGCATGTCTACACTATCACCAGAGAAGCACCACTACAGCACTGCAGCTGTAGCGCCAAACTGCAGACATTTCTTATAGTGATGGAAAGCACATTTCCATTGACGTAGTTAATCCATCTCACCAAAGGCTTGTCTTTGCTTATGGCTAATGCTCCAGTAACGTTAATGAAGATGCTACAGAGGCCAACAGGAGAGCTTCTTCCATCAGCATGGGTTCTCCACCTCCTTGAGAGGTGGTAGCTATGCAGACAGAAGGAGCTGTCCCATCGACATAGTGTAACCCACACACCTACTTGGTATAGTGGACTGTCCCCTCTAGTGGCACTGAGAACATAATGGCTGTGTCTAGAGAGCTGTCCCATCGACATAGTGTAACCCACACACCTACTTGGTATAGTGGACTGTCCCCTCTAGTGGCACTGAGAACATAATGGCTGTGTCTAGAAAGGGCCAGTGTAGACAGCTCAGATTTGTTTTCCGCAAAAAAGCCCCGATTGCGAAAATGGCGATCGGGGCTTTTTTGTGGAAAAGCGCATCTAGATTGGCACGGACGCTGTTCCACAAAAAGTGCTTTTGCGGAAAAGCATCCTTGCCAATCTAGACGCTCTGTTCCAAAAATGCTTTTAACGGAAAACTTTTCCATTAAAAGCATTTCCGGAAAATCATGCCAATCTAGATGCAGCCACAGAGAGAATAATGAGTCTGCTCTATACCCTTAGCTAATAGCCCACTGGCTTTTAGCTCATGCAGTAGAGGGTCATATACTAAGTCCTCCTCCTTTTAGGTATGGAAAAGCACAGTAGGTTTTCATGATGATTAACTAAGTTGGAAACAATTCTAGAGGGTGCATTCTGTGTTTGATCAATTGTGATTGTGTTGGTGTGTACCTGCTGATCAGTGTAGTTCGGTGTAATGTAATTCTGTTGGTTAATGAGGCCACATTAAATCGTTTTCCCCATGCTGGCCAAATTCTGAGCATATTGTCAGTACATTTTGCTTTCTCTGCCTTTCACTTTGATAAATGAATACTAGTAGGTTGGTCTCTGTGGAGGGAAACACCTGGACAATCCCTCCATAGAGCTCTGATGTGGCCATGCGCCTTTTGGGCTATGTCTACACTCACAGCTTCTTGCGCGAGAAATATGCAAGTGAGGCTAAGTGTGGAATATTGCTGAGCCTCATTTGTGTACCTAATGAGCCACCATTTTTGCTGAAGAGGCTCTTGCACCAAAAAGAACTGCCTACACTGTCCCTTCTCGCACAAGAAAAACCCTCTTGCGCAATGCCGTTACACCGATTATTTTCAGGAATAATGACATTGTGCAAGAGAGTTTTTCTTGCGCAAGAAGGGGGCAATGTAGACAGCTCCTTCTGGCGCAAGAGCCTCTTCTGCACAAATGGTGGCTCATTAGGTATGCAAATGAGGCTCTGCAATATTCTATGCTTAGCCTGAAGCCGCGAGTGTAGACATAGCTGGCATTGGTGGGACTCTGCCTGCCGTGCCATTCGGGGGCACCTTGCTGTCTGATAGCTACAGCCTTGTGAATAAGTTCCGACATACAGCTCAGCACACAGCCCGAGATGCTCCGCTCCAGAGATGGTGCCTGCCAAGGGCTATGGAAACACATTCTCTGCAGGCCCAATGACACTTCAATCCCTCATCAACCGCTAATGCGCGTGAGCAAATATTTGCCGAGTTGGGGACTCCAGGGCGCAGAGGGGCCAGACCAAATCCCGGGCGGAGTGCAAGGCGGTACCTAAGCAGGGTTTGCCTGCTGTGTCGCGAACAGGAGCCTAAGCTCCAGCGGTCCCAGGCCGCACTGTGGCTGTCGGG